TAAGTCCTGGAGCTGCTGTGGCCCTGTCTAAGTCCTGGAGCTGCTGTGGCCCTGTCTAAGTCCTGGTCATCACCTGAGTCAAACGCAGGTTCTGTTCTTCTCAGAGGTTTGGCAGCCTGCGCTCTGAGGTCATCGAGCAGATGAGGTTCAAGCAGAGGCTGAAGGTCATCCATTCCCTGGAGGACACAGCCAAGCGGAGCGTGGTGGGTGCCCCGCCCTAATGATGTCACAGTTTGCACCAGCGTTACTAATGCTAATGCTAACCATGCTAGCGAGGACACGGGTCACAGGTGTGTTTCTCTGCAGGTGAGGGCCGTGATGACGGAGTCGGCCTTCAGCATCGAGGAACTGGAGGAGCTCTACTGCCTCTTCAAGGTCAGGAGGAACTTAACGGTTCGGACCTCCGTCTCTGCTGGTCCCGGGTCTGACCCATCTGTCTCTGTTCTGACCCGGCTCAGTTCAAACACATGACCAGCTGCTACTGGGGCTCCAGCAGCTCTGCGGCGGAGCGCCACGACCCCAGCCTGCCGTACCTGGAGCAGTACCGGATCGACCCGGTCCAGTTCGCCCAGCTCTTCATGGCGCTCGCTCCCTGGGTCTGCGGGAGCCACACCCCCATCCTGTCGTCCCGCCTCTTCAGGCTCCTGGATCAGAACKGCGATGGGCTCGTCAATTTCAAAGAGTTCATCACCGGGCTCAGTGAGTCTGATCTGGGCTCTGACAGAATCCTGGTTCCGCCTGGACCCGGTTTCACCTGAGTGCTTGTGTTCCTGCAGGTGGGATGTATCATGGAGACATGATGGAGAAACTGAAGCTGCTCTACAAGCTCCACCTCCAGCCAGGTAACGACTGCCGGGACTAACTCGGGTTACGGTTTCCTGGAGGGGGTCGACGTGGGACTCGTTCAGTCGTTAAAACTCGTTAAAGTGTCCGTGTTATCAATTTTTTTTCACAAACATGAATGCATTTTTGGAAAGATAACATCAGTAACTTATTGCAAAATTAATTTCACGACCCTGATATGAACAGTTGTTGAGAAGCTTGTGAAGAAACAGGAAGTGATGTCATTGTCTGAATATAAACAGAGCAATGCTATGACGCTAACATCTCAGACTGTAGAGAAGAATCKGATGTTTCTTCAGATTTTATTGAGGTGAAGAAGAGTCAGAGTTCAAATAATATTGTTTCAAAAAACAAAACCCAGAAAGCTTTATTTCTTAAAGAGTTCCCCTTTGATGTCACTTCCTGTTTCACTGCCACTTATGTGAAAAAATGGGTAAAATCATTTGTTTTATGCAAAGTTTCTTAAATCTAAAGATGTTTTCTTTGACTTTTACTTTTTTTAAGCTTGTCTGATGGGTTCAGTCTGAGTCTCTGTGTCTTGTTATTGTTTGTTGCAGCTCTTTGTCCTCAGGAGGCGGAGTCTGCTTTGGAAGCCACACAGTTCTTCACCGAGGACGAAGCAGGAGGTACGCACACACACGGACACACACGTAGGGTTTTTACTATCTTTCTGTGGACTTGGACAGCCTAATTCCTGACCCAAAAATGGTGATGTTCAGTCAAAATGTCCTTACCATTGATCACAGATAGCTATGTCCAAATTCAGGGGCTGGGTCCTCTGAAGGACCCGGCCTACCCGGTCTAAGTGGGCCGAGTCCTTGGTTGACCGTGGGGACCGGAAAAAAGTGTTTGTGAATTTGAACGGTCTAGCCGACAATGAATCCTGAATTTGGACACGGCCTTTGATCTATATTACTGGATTGGGCATGGCTAGCCCATTGCTAGCTAACGTGCTACACGGTGACCGTGTCCAAAACAGTGGGCTAGGTCCTGCAAAGGCTGAATTCGTCACAGCGCCGCGATAGGATGTGGCTAGCACATTGCTAGCTAACGTGCTACACATTGTCATATATTACTAGATAGGATGTGGCTAGCACATTGCTAGCTAACGTGCTACACATTGCCATATATTACTGGATAGGATGTGGCTAGTGTATTGCTAGCTAACATGCTACACATAGTCATATATTACTGGATAAGGTGTGGCTAGCGCATTGCTAGCTAACATGCTACACATAGTCATTTATTACTGGATAGGATGTGGCAAGAGCATTGCTAGCTAACGTGCTACACTTGTTACTGGATAGGATGTGGCTAGTGCATTGCTAGCTAACGTGCTAATTATGCATTAAAGAGTGCCAACACAATCAATAGATTGTGAGGCGTCATCCTGAAGAAAAATTCTTTTAAATTTCTCATTTCTTGCTCGATTTTTATAAACTATGGTTCAAAATGAAGCTGAGGAAATATAATTAACTAATTTAAACGACTAACAGTGGCTTAAATAAAAGCAATGGCCTCACAAGTGTGGTCTAATGTCCAATTAAGTCTTCAAGCATACTATATTTGTCTATCTTTATAAGGACTTTGCATTGACTTCCATTCATTTTTCATTCATTCCTTTCCCTGATATTTACTCTAACCCATCAACTTCATTTAAACATGGGGGCGGGGCTTTGGGTTCTCACTATGTAGTATGTTTTGGAAAAAATGGGTTATGTAAGATGACACAAACACACACACACACACACACACACACACACACACACACACACACACACACACA